GAAGGCCTACATGCTGAGACGCACAGATGCACGCACGCACGCACGCACTCACGCACACACACACACACACTCATTCGGAAATCGATTGTCACACGACAAGTCTGAACGACTCCTTAACCAATCCACATCGAACATCAAGATATACACACGTTTACTCATCGTGTGTGCTCTCATGGAGACAGTCAAACATGCCTGAGAAGGTGTCACGCACTGACAGTCGAAAATCACCTACACCTTGGAACGCTGAAATCACTGATGGTGGCGAGTCAAGCATTTCAACGGAAGACACCATTCTCCTACAACTGTCAACAAGTACCTGGTCTTGGGCTTGGCAGTTGTACTAGTTGTCTTTCTCCGACCGACCCACTGACCAACTGACATACTCAACAACACTCACTCACTCACTCACTTGCTAACACTGACATTCGCGTCGCCACATCCACATTGTCAATATAATTATATCACCAATTTCCATACTAATCACCATCAAAATATTAGTACTGAAAATATGCTTCTAATCTTATCTTCAACATTATTATTATTATTATTACTATTGTTATTACTATTATTATCATTATTATTATTAATATTAATATTAATATTATTATTTTTTTATTAGTATTACTAATTCTACTAGTATTACTGCTAATAATATGAGTATTATTGTTATTACCATCATCACACTTGTCGTTGTTGTTCTTGTTGTTGTTGTCGTCGTCATCGCTGTCGACCGTGGTGTCATTAGTACCATCAACACTGGTTGCTACATTAACAATGATGAAGTTAACACACTTATTCACTGACGTCAGACGACCAGATGCACAACTCGCTGACAGTCAGTCGACACCAACTGATGGCCATCCGATACCGGGATACCTCTGTGCATGCAAATCTATCTCCCTCCCTATCTACAGCTCGTCCTGTCGGTCAACATATGTTTCGCGTCGAACAGTTGTATGGTTGACGACTGTCACACCACTCTGTTTACTGAGAGTTTCCTCTAGTCGGTGAATGACTAGGCGGCTTGCTTACCGATCAGTGAGGCGATCGTCGTCAGTAGCTGGCTCGCTGGCTGGCTGGCTGGCTGGCTGGATTTCCGTGACTGGCTTTCTAATAATAACAGTCATTATATTAATAGTTGCAATAATACTGCTACTAATAATAATAGTAGTAGTAATAATAATAATAATAATCATAATCATAATCGGTGAGGCGAATCACTTAGTTATACGAGGCGTTGGAACGTGTGTTGGCGTTTGTCGATCAGTCGGCCTACACTGTCAGTTGTCACTGTCTCCGTCGTGGAGGTGTGTGTGTGTGTGTGTGTAATTTGAGGAGGACGTTGTTCGACTGGGAGGCTTGGAGTGTGTTCAGTGTCTGGCGAGCGTGTGAAGACTGGCTGTGGCTGTGTTGTACTGACAGACAACTGGTCGATGGGGAATGAGGCGCGCATGTTGTATTACCTGTGTGTCATTGAGTGTATGTTGGATATTCTGTGTGTTTGTTATGCCTTTCCTAATGAGTCCGGTCAAAATCATGCCCCAGGTGAGACTCGAACTCACGACCTTCAGATTATGAGACTGACGCGCTAACCGACTGCGCTACTAGGGCGCCATTGTCTGCGCCATAGCACGCAAACACAAAACACTCCCGATACAGACAAACACATACACATACACACACACACAAACAAAAATAACAAAAACACACTCACGCACAAACACACATCAAACACCCACCATCCAACAACCAACAACCGCATCATTCGAACACACGAATCACACAAGTCAGTGCACCTCTCCACATCCGACACTACACAGACACGAGTACAAAGGCGAACAAGCGAACAGGAAAACAAACACGTACACACACGCACTCGCAGACACAAAATATTCACATACACACACATCTATGCACACGTACACGCGAAGGAAGGCCTACATGCTGAGACGCACAGATGCACGCACGCACACACACACACACTCATTCGGAAATCGATTGTCACACGACAAGTCTGAACGACTCCTTAACCAATCCACATCGAACATCAAGATATACACACGTTTACTCATCGTGTGTGCTCTCATGGAGACAGTCAAACATGCCTGAGAAGGTGTCACGCACTGACAGTCGAAAATCACCTACACCTTGGAACGCTGAAATCACTGATGGTGGCGAGTCAAGCATTTCAACGGAAGACACCATTCTCCTACAACTGTCAACAAGTACCTGGTCTTGGGCTTGGCAGTTGTACTAGTTGTCTTTCTCCGACCGACCCACTGACCAACTGACATACTCAACAACACTCACTCACTCACTCACTTGCTAACACTGACATTCGCGTCGCCACATCCACATTGTCAATATAATTATATCACCAATTTCCATACTAATCACCATCAAAATATTAGTACTGAAAATATGCTTCTAATCTTATCTTCAACATTATTATTATTATTATCATTACTATTGTTATTACTATTATTATCATTATTATTATTAATATTAATATTATTATTTTTTTATTAGTATTACTAATTCTACTAGTATTACTGCTAATAATATGAGTATTATTGTTATTACCATCATCACACTTGTCGTTGTTGTTCTTGTTGTTGTTGTCGTCGTCATCGCTGTCGACCGTGGTGTCATTAGTACCATCAACACTGGTTGCTACATTAACAATGATGAAGTTAACACACTTATTCACTGACGTCAGACGACCAGATGCACAACTCGCTGACAGTCAGTCGACACCAACTGATGGCCATCCGATACCGGGATACCTCTGTGCATGCAAATCTATCTCCCTCCCTATCTACAGCTCGTCCTGTCGGTCAACATATGTTTCGCGTCGAACAGTTGTATGGTTGACGACTGTCACACCACTCTGTTTACTGAGAGTTTCCTCTAGTCGGTGAATGACTAGGCGGCTTGCTTACCGATCAGTGAGGCGATCGTCGTCAGTAGCTGGCTCGCTGGCTGGCTGGCTGGCTGGCTGGCTGGCTGGATTTCCGTGACTGGCTTTCTAATAATAACAGTCATTATATTAATAGTTGCAATAATACTGCTACTAATAATAATAGTAGTAGTAATAATAATAATAATAATAATCATAATCATAATCGGTGAGGCGAATCACTTAGTTATACGAGGCGTTGGAACGTGTGTTGGCGTTTGTCGATCAGTCGGCCTACACTGTCAGTTGTCACTGTCTCCGTCGTGGAGGTGTGTGTGTGTGTGTGTGTAATTTGAGGAGGACGTTGTTCGACTGGGAGGCTTGGAGTGTGTTCAGTGTCTGGCGAGCGTGTGAAGACTGGCTGTGGCTGTGTTGTACTGACAGACAACTGGTCGATGGGGAATGAGGCGCGCATGTTGTATTACCTGTGTGTCATTGAGTGTATGTTGGATATTCTGTGTGTTTGTTATGCCTTTCCTAATGAGTCCGGTCAAAATCATGCCCCAGGTGAGACTCGAACTCACGACCTTCAGATTATGAGACTGACGCGCTAACCGACTGCGCTACTAGGGCGCCATTGTCTGCGCCATAGCACGCAAACACAAAACACTCCCGATACAGACAAACACATACACATACACACACACACAAACAAAAATAACAAAAACACACTCACGCACAAACACACATAAAACACCCACCATCCAACAACCAACAACCGCATCATTCGAACACACGAATCACACAAGTCAGTGCACCTCTCCACATCCGACACTACACAGACACGAGTACAAAGGCGAACAAGCGAACAGGAAAACAAACACGTACACACACGCACTCGCAGACACAAAATATTCACATACACACACATCTATGCACACGTACACGCGAAGGAAGGCCTACATGCTGAGACGCACAGATGCACGCACGCACACACACACACACACTCATTCGGAAATCGATTGTCACACGACAAGTCTGAACGACTCCTTAACCAATCCACATCGAACATCAAGATATACACACGTTTACTCATCGTGTGTGCTCTCATGGAGACAGTCAAACATGCCTGAGAAGGTGTCACGCACTGACAGTCGAAAATCACCTACACCTTGGAACGCTGAAATCACTGATGGTGGCGAGTCAAGCATTTCAACGGAAGACACCATTCTCCTACAACTGTCAACAAGTACCTGGTCTTGGGCTTGGCAGTTGTACTAGTTGTCTTTCTCCGACCGACCCACTGACCAACTGACATACTCAACAACACTCACTCACTCACTCACTTGCTAACACTGACATTCGCGTCGCCACATCCACATTGTCAATATAATTATATCACCAATTTCCATACTAATCACCATCAAAATATTAGTACTGAAAATATGCTTCTAATCTTATCTTCAACATTATTATTATTATTATTATTACTATTGTTATTACTATTATTATCATTATTATTATTAATATTAATATTATTATTTTTTTATTAGTATTACTAATTCTACTAGTATTACTGCTAATAATATGAGTATTATTGTTATTACCATCATCACACTTGTCGTTGTTGTTCTTGTTGTTGTTGTCGTCGTCATCGCTGTCGACCGTGGTGTCATTAGTACCATCAACACTGGTTGCTACATTAACAATGATGAAGTTAACACACTTATTCACTGACGTCAGACGACCAGATGCACAACTCGCTGACAGTCAGTCGACACCAACTGATGGCCATCCGATACCGGTGTGGTGAGAGCAGGCTGCTAGCCGATTGGTTGGCACTAATCTACGTTAAGGTCTAGGTCACTAATATGGGCCGTGAACAAGGCTGAGTCAACAACCAATCACAGCGAAGTTAACGTGGCAAAATATGATTCGCAGATAGAGAACTCTGTTTGTCAAGGAATCCCGAAACAACCAATCAGAAGCCTGCGTTTGTCTACCTAAACAACCAATCAGATGACTGCGCTTGTCTATAATAATGTTGTCTGAAATATGTATAAATACGTGTTGATTTTCATAATAAAACGATCTGTTGCCTGGCCCTTGTCTTCTGTTGTTACATTTGGTGTCGCTGCCTACCGACAAATGAAAAGCCTATACCCTGCAGTTTTTGATGGAGACATATGGATCTTCGGGCAGGACTTCAAGGCTTCTGCGCAGTTGAGTGGCGTTCAAGATCTGTCAGCGATGGAGCTGCTACTTGAGACGCTGCTGGGAGGTCGGGCGAAAGCAGCATATGAAGGTGTGGGCCGAAGTATGGACGAATGTTCGACAGGGTCAGGCAAACAGTTTCCAAAGTGGGAAGGACCATATATGGTCACTTCGAGATGGGGTTACGCAGACACAGTCGCAATGGCGAACAATGAGAGGCGCGTGAACGTCAGCGAGCTCCAGAAATGGATACAGCGAGACAAGCCAACGATGACGCCTGCACCAAGTAGATCAAGCCGACTTCAGTCGCACGTATTTGACGGGGGGACGAGTGTGGTGAGAGCAGGCTGCTAGCCGATTGGTTGGCACTAATCTACGTTAAGGTCTAGGTCACTAATATGGGCCGTGAACAAGGCTGAGTCAACAACCAATCACAGCGAAGTTAACGTGGCAAAATATGATTCGCAGATAGAGAACTCTGTTTGTCAAGGAATCCCGAAACAACCAATCAGAAGCCTGCGTTTGTCTACCTAAACAACCAATCAGATGACTGCGCTTGTCTATAATAATGTTGTCTGAAATATGTATAAATACGTGTTGATTTTCATAATAAAACGATCTGTTGCCTGGCCCTTGTCTTCTGTTGTTACACCGGGATACCTCTGTGCATGCAAATCTATCTCCCTCCCTATCTACAGCTCGTCCTGTCGGTCAACATATGTTTCGCGTCGAACAGTTGTATGGTTGACGACTGTCACACCACTCTGTTTACTGAGAGTTTCCTCTAGTCGGTGAATGACTAGGCGGCTTGCTTACCGATCAGTGAGGCGATCATCGTCAGTAGCTGGCTCGCTGGCTGGCTGGCTGGCTGGCTGGCTGGATTTCCGTGACTGGCTTTCTAATAATAACAGTCATTATATTAATAGTTGCAATAATACTGCTACTAATAATAATAGTAGTAGTAATAATAATAATAATAATCATAATCATAATCGGTGAGGCGAATCACTTAGTTATACGAGGCGTTGGAACGTGTGTTGGCGTTTGTCGATCAGTCGGCCTACACTGTCAGTTGTCACTGTCTCCGTCGTGGAGGGTGTGTGTGTGTGTGTGTGTGTAATTTGAGGAGGACGTTGTTCGACTGGGAGGCTTGGAGTGTGTTCAGTGTCTGGCGAGCGTGTGAAGACTGGCTGTGGCTGTGTTGTACTGACAGACAACTGGTCGATGGGGAATGAGGCGCGCATGTTGTATTACCTGTGTGTCATTGAGTGTATGTTGGATATTCTGTGTGTTTGTTATGCCTTTCCTAATGAGTCCGGTCAAAATCATGCCCCAGGTGAGACTCGAACTCACGACCTTCAGATTATGAGACTGACGCGCTAACCGACTGCGCTACTAGGGCGCCATTGTCTGCGCCATAGCACGCAAACACAAAACACTCCCGATACAGACAAACACATACACATACACACACACACAAACAAAAATAACAAAAACACACTCACGCACAAACACACATAAAACACCCACCATCCAACAACCAACAACCGCATCATTCGAACACACGAATCACACAAGTCAGTGCACCTCTCCACATCCGACACTACACAGACACGAGTACAAAGGCGAACAAGCGAACAGGAAAACAAACACGTACACACACGCACTCGCAGACACAAAATATTCACATACACACACATCTATGCACACGTACACGCGAAGGAAGGCCTACATGCTGAGACGCACAGATGCACGCACGCACACACACACACACTCATTCGGAAATCGATTGTCACACGACAAGTCTGAACGACTCCTTAACCAATCCACATCGAACATCAAGATATACACACGTTTACTCATCGTGTGTGCTCTCATGGAGACAGTCAAACATGCCTGAGAAGGTGTCACGCACTGACAGTCGAAAATCACCTACACCTTGGAACGCTGAAATCACTGATGGTGGCGAGTCAAGCATTTCAACGGAAGACACCATTCTCCTACAACTGTCAACAAGTACCTGGTCTTGGGCTTGGCAGTTGTACTAGTTGTCTTTCTCCGACCGACCCACTGACCAACTGACATACTCAACAACACTCACTCACTCACTCACTTGCTAACACTGACATTCGCGTCGCCACATCCACATTGTCAATATAATTATATCACCAATTTCCATACTAATCACCATCAAAATATTAGTACTGAAAATATGCTTCTAATCTTATCTTCAACATTATTATTATTATTATTATTACTATTGTTATTACTATTATTATCATTATTATTATTAATATTAATATTAATATTATTATTTTTTTATTAGTATTACTAATTCTACTAGTATTACTGCTAATAATATGAGTATTATTGTTATTACCATCATCACACTTGTCGTTGTTGTTCTTGTTGTTGTCGTCGTCATCGCTGTCGACCGTGGTGTCATAAGTACCATCAACACTGGTTGCTACATTAACAATGATGAAGTTAACACACTTATTCACTGACGTCAGACGACCAGATGCACAACTCGCTGACAGTCAGTCGACACCAACTGATGGCCATCCGATACCGGGATACCTCTGTGCATGCAAATCTATCTCCCTCCCTATCTACAGCTCGTCCTGTCGGTCAACATATGTTTCGCGTCGAACAGTTGTATGGTTGACGACTGTCACACCACTCTGTTTACTGAGAGTTTCCTCTAGTCGGTGAATGACTAGGCGGCTTGCTTACCGATCAGTGAGGCGATCGTCGTCAGTAGCTGGCTCGCTGGCTGGCTGGCTGGCTGGCTGGATTTCCGTGACTGGCTTTCTAATAATAACAGTCATTATATTAATAGTTGCAATAATACTGCTACTAATAATAATAGTAGTAGTAATAATAATAATAATAATAATCATAATCATAATCGGTGAGGCGAATCACTTAGTTATACGAGGCGTTGGAACGTGTGTTGGCGTTTGTCGATCAGTCGGCCTACACTGTCAGTTGTCACTGTCTCCGTCGTGGAGGTGTGTGTGTGTGTGTGTGTGTAATTTGAGGAGGACGTTGTTCGACTGGGAGGCTTGGAGTGTGTTCAGTGTCTGGCGAGCGTGTGAAGACTGGCTGTGGCTGTGTTGTACTGACAGACAACTGGTCGATGGGGAATGAGGCGCGCATGTTGTATTACCTGTGTGTCATTGAGTGTATGTTGGATATTCTGTGTGTTTGTTATGCCTTTCCTAATGAGTCCGGTCAAAATCATGCCCCAGGTGAGACTCGAACTCACGACCTTCAGATTATGAGACTGACGCGCTAACCGACTGCGCTACTAGGGCGCCATTGTCTGCGCCATAGCACGCAAACACAAAACACTCCCGATACAGACAAACACATACACATACACACACACACAAACAAAAATAACAAAAACACACTCACGCACAAACACACATAAAACACCCACCATCCAACAACCAACAACCGCATCATTCGAACACACGAATCACACAAGTCAGTGCACCTCTCCACATCCGACACTACACAGACACGAGTACAAAGGCGAACAAGCGAACAGGAAAACAAACACGTACACACACGCACTCGCAGACACAAAATATTCACATACACACACATCTATGCACACGTACACGCGAAGGAAGGCCTACATGCTGAGACGCACAGATGCACGCACGCACTCACGCACACACACACACACTCATTCGGAAATCGATTGTCACACGACAAGTCTGAACGACTCCTTAACCAATCCACATCGAACATCAAGATATACACACGTTTACTCATCGTGTGTGCTCTCATGGAGACAGTCAAACATGCCTGAGAAGGTGTCACGCACTGACAGTCGAAAATCACCTACACCTTGGAACGCTGAAATCACTGATGGTGGCGAGTCAAGCATTTCAACGGAAGACACCATTCTCCTACAACTGTCAACAAGTACCTGGTCTTGGGCTTGGCAGTTGTACTAGTTGTCTTTCTCCGACCGACCCACTGACCAACTGACATACTCAACAACACTCACTCACTCACTCACTTGCTAACACTGACATTCGCGTCGCCACATCCACATTGTCAATATAATTATATCACCAATTTCCATACTAATCACCATCAAAATATTAGTACTGAAAATATGCTTCTAATCTTATCTTCAACATTATTATTATTATTATTATCATTACTATTGTTATTACTATTATTATCATTATTATTATTAATATTAATATTATTATTTTTTTATTAGTATTACTAATTCTACTAGTATTACTGCTAATAATATGAGTATTATTGTTATTACCATCATCACACTTGTCGTTGTTGTTCTTGTTGTTGTTGTCGTCGTCATCGCTGTCGACCGTGGTGTCATTAGTACCATCAACACTGGTTGCTACATTAACAATGATGAAGTTAACACACTTATTCACTGACGTCAGACGACCAGATGCACAACTCGCTGACAGTCAGTCGACACCAACTGATGGCCATCCGATACCGGGATACCTCTGTGCATGCAAATCTATCTCCCTCCCTATCTACAGCTCGTCCTGTCGGTCAACATATGTTTCGCGTCGAACAGTTGTATGGTTGACGACTGTCACACCACTCTGTTTACTGAGAGTTTCCTCTAGTCGGTGAATGACTAGGCGGCTTGCTTACCGATCAGTGAGGCGATCGTCGTCAGTAGCTGGCTCGCTGGCTGGCTGGCTGGCTGGCTGGATTTCCGTGACTGGCTTTCTAATAATAACAGTCATTATATTAATAGTTGCAATAATACTGCTACTAATAATAATAGTAGTAGTAATAATAATAATAATAATAATCATAATCATAATCGGTGAGGCGAATCACTTAGTTATACGAGGCGTTGGAACGTGTGTTGGCGTTTGTCGATCAGTCGGCCTACACTGTCAGTTGTCACTGTCTCCGTCGTGGAGGTGTGTGTGTGTGTGTGTGTAATTTGAGGAGGACGTTGTTCGACTGGGAGGCTTGGAGTGTGTTCAGTGTCTGGCGAGCGTGTGAAGACTGGCTGTGGCTGTGTTGTACTGACAGACAACTGGTCGATGGGGAATGAGGCGCGCATGTTGTATTACCTGTGTGTCATTGAGTGTATGTTGGATATTCTGTGTGTTTGTTATGCCTTTCCTAATGAGTCCGGTCAAAATCATGCCCCAGGTGAGACTCGAACTCACGACCTTCAGATTATGAGACTGACGCGCTAACCGACTGCGCTACTAGGGCGCCATTGTCTGCGCCATAGCACGCAAACACAAAACACTCCCGATACAGACAAACACATACACATACACACACACAAACAAAAATAACAAAAACACACTCACGCACAAACACCCACACACACACGAACCAGTCAACACAACACAAATCAACACAAAACGACACGACACGACACGACACTACACAACACAACACAATTTCAATACATCCTACAAACACAACCAACACAACACATCACACTCACTCTCCTCCGCCTCAAGCTCAAACGTTCCAAGCGGACATGCAAACAATCACACCAATCAATCAATCAATCAATCATTCTATGCACTGAGAAGCCCATCACACTACCCAATTTACCACACACGCACACGCACCCACACAAACAAAAACAAAATCACACTCACGCACAAACACA